TGGCTAGTTGGTCGACTTTGTGGAATGCCAAAAGCAGAACGAAACCTGAGACTTCTGGTGCTGAGTGCATGAGCCTCTACACAGCAGGAGCTAAATGCAGCTGGCTCTCAGCTAAGGAGCACGCTCATTCTTCCTAAGATGACTAAGTACCACTACATGGAGCAAGAAACTGCACCCAAAAGAATTGATTGCATCAGTCATCAGCATTCCTGAGGCATTTACCAACTCCAGACAGGTCAATTTTCAGGCGAGGGTGAGATAAGAGTCTCACTTTGATTGTAATAAAAAACCACAATCGAGTCTTGCATGAGCTGCATCCATACATTGGATAGCCCAAGTGCTTTTAGCCTGGCATGAAGAACTCATCTCCGGGCCACAGTGTTTAGTTCTAACTCACCCAAAGTTTGCGAGCGTCCTCATCAAGGGGTCTTGTTTCAGGGCCTACCCTAGTCACTTAGCCTGCCATTTTCGAAAGAACCGCGTCTAGACTGCGGTTTTACTTTCGAAATGGCGCTTTTTCAAAAAAGCGCCATGATGCGATTATGCAAATGAAGGATGGGAAATTCAAATCCCCGCCCCATTTGCAAGTTCCAACTGTCTAATTTGCATCCCCATGAAAGAAGGGATGTAGTCTAGACCCAGCCTTATTGGTGGGAGCTAAAAGATAGAACAGGAAAAAAAGAACATCCGAAGAAGTGGGGTTTGCCCACAAAAGCTCATGATCTGATATATATTTTTGTTAGCTACTAAGGGCATGTCTATACGGCAGGGCAAAAGTCGAATTAAGCTCCGCCACTCCAGCAACGTCAATTGCGCCGCTGAAGTCAAAACAGCTTCATTCGGCTTATGGCGCTGTCTGCACAGCAGGAAGTCGAAGGAAGAGCCCTCTTCTTCCAACGTCCCTTACACCTCGTGAAATGGGGGCGATAGGAGTCGGAGTAAGAAGTCCTCCAGCTCGCCGTTATTTTGGAATCACGGCTTGCTGTGTAGACGCGCTCCCTGTCATTTCAAAAGAACGTCGGTTATTCCAAAATCACGCTGCTGTGCAGACGTCTCCTTCGGTGCCACAGGTCGACTCGCTGGTTTTAAAGTTACAGGCTAACACAGCTGCCCCTCTGAGACACGGAGGAAAAAATCTCTTCACTAAATCCATTTTAATCTCTGGGTTTATTCCGGAGCGTATGCCAGACACACAATGGTTTTATAAATAGCTTGAAATCCAGCCTAGCTCTCCAGCTAATCACTGTCAATGTTTCTACCAGACAGTTCCTTTTATTTCTAGATGTCTGTTTTCATGCAGCTCCCTATGGGCAGATCCTTGGGTCTTGAGAGAGATAATGTCGCCCTAACATTAGCAGCCTTTCGGCCTTTCAAACACTTTCCTGCAGCCCTTTCTTTGACTTACAGCCCTATGGTTCCCCTGGGATACCACCCCGGCCAGAGACAACTCAGGAACCTGAGACCCTCTACTCTCAGAGAAGCAATGTACCCCCCTCCTCATCAATTTTACCTTAACCACTGCTCCTGTATAACACACAGCACTTGAAAGATAGTGGTAGAAATGTAGCCGTGTTAGTCTGGTGCAGCTGCACCAGACTAACACGGCTACATTTCTACCACTATCTTTCAAGTGCTGTGTGTTATACAGGAGCAGTGGTTAAGGTAAAATTGATGAGGAGGGGGGTACATTGCTTCTCTGAGAGTAGAGGGTCTCAGGTTCCTGAGTTGTCTCTGGCCGGGGTGGTATCCCAGGGGAACCATAGGACTGACTACAGTGAAAGACTCTGCCTCACACTATCCAAGAAATTAAGGAACCACCTGATAAGTATTTTATACAAGAAACAGAAAAACTTCAAGAATGACATTTCAAACTTAGAGAGTCTCATCTCAAGACAAACATCCACACCGACTAACACCTTGCAAGACTTTTGTTCCACTTGAAAGATAGTTGGTTTAAGTAGGAAATAGAGCTCCTACTAGAAACAAGAGAGTGATGGAAACAAAAGAGTTATAATACAAACCAAATCATCAAGCACAGAGTAGGGGCTACCCTTACTCCACTTTCCCATAGAATAAAAGATGATTTTCCCCTATTAACAAGTGTGAAATATCAGGACTTCTTTTTTCCAGAGGATCTGGGTCACAGCTGTTTATAAAGGACAAAGCCCCTAGAAGATCCGGTAATATTGGCACATCTGGTCATACAGATGGTCCCCCCAAAGTTCAGTCTGTTGCAGAGCTGGCCATCAAAGGACGGCCAAGCAGCATGCAGTCCAATGAAAATAACTTGCAAACACAGAGAGGAGATGGGAAACAGGTCAATCCCGCTGGAAAAAAAAAAAGATCGTTGCAGGTTTCATCATTCAGTTTTATATTGGGGGGGGGGATCAAAGTGTTGTTCAGATTTTAGGATTTGTTTGCGCAGCGAGGCTGGGCGATTTGCGAAGGTTTACCTTTAACTTACAGCAAAAAAGCATGCTGTGTGTGTGTGTGTGTGTTTTATAGACTCAAATGGCTCGCTCCCCTCTGTGCCTCTGAAAATCTAACTTGCTGAAGGATTTCAGAGAGGAGGTGATAAATCCCCAGTTGGTGTTCTGGAACTGTGTACACAGCTGTCCCATAGTCCTCACGCCTGTGCACAGTTCACGCTCTCTGACGAGGAGCGGGGGGTCTCTCTGTGTGGGTCTGCCCCGAACGTCAGACGTATATTCGACGCAAGGAGCTAGGGTATCGTTACACTCCTCACGCAGGCAAACTTCGCCACACGGTCAGCAGAAGCTTTGGGTGATCAGGTCTCTAGGCAAGCAGGGAATGCATTCCATGCAGATGTCTCCTCCCCAGCAGGCTAGCAAGGCCCCGAGTCAGCCAAGCACATGAGCACGTGCTTCCAGGGGACTTTCAACACACGCTCAGCCCGGGCCAAAGTGCTTTGTTGATTCAGGGCCAGAAAAAGCACCGGAGCCAGGAGAGCAGCTGATTGTAAAGCCCTTGCTGATAACGGGAGGCTTTCCAAAGATGCCAGCGAGTTCTGGCTCGGGTC